GGATTTGTGACTTTCACAGTATAGTAACCTGTTGTCCAAATTCACGACAATGACCAACCAGTGAATTAGGACAACTACATGTTTAGTTGTATCAGCAAATCTTTTGTGTAAGTGACACAGTGGTACATGTATTAGCTTATAGGGCACAGTGGTGATAGACGTAATTTGTTAACAAGTTGCTCAGGCCAAGTCTAGGACTCTGAAAGTATGGGTCACTCAATGGATATCCTATAATACGAATAAGCTAATTAATCATTGTGAAATATTTTAATTTGTTTTTTTAATATTCAGTCATGGTAACAACGGTGTCTTGTCTTGCTTGGTTGAAATCTACTTATTGTATCCATGCAAGTTTTGAATGGTGTGAAGCATGTATAGAATGGATCAAAGATGAATATCAAGTACGTACCAAAAGGGGTGAAAAATAGGAGAAAGATATAACATTTGTTATTTTATCATTTGTGCAAATTTACTGTGCATTTAGTGTGTAACTTCATGTTATATTTGAACAGGTTTCTTTCAAAATCCCAATTGTTGGTAACCGACAGACAGTGAATTTAATTTGTACATATAAACATGTATATATAATTTGATTGAATCCGTTCCACTGAAAAATTACCCATTTGGATTTAAGTCATCAATTCATATTTATTACTAGTAGTCATATTTCAGAACTTTATGGACCTAATTTGTTTAGTTATTGCATGTGCCTAATACTTTATATGGGACATGTGCACATGTTCAATTCAAGATGGCTGACAGGCAGCCATTTTGTTTTTTGTAAATGTGGCATCTTGGAGATGCTTTGTCAGTTTTTGTTGAAATTTTATACATACATTATACATGTTAATATACATGTCCACAATGATTGGATCAAAGATGGCAGACTGGTAACTATTTATGACTCGCAGCTACTATACCTCCAAGACTTATTGACCATTTTTATTCATATTTGGCACATACCTGATTCTGCTGTAAATTGACCCATCCAAATGGTGGTAGGTTCTTGATGATCATCAAATTGTTTTTTTGGGACTTCATTTCATTGAAAAATCTACTAACTGTAGAAAATGCAGAAGCTAATCTAAAATTTTATACATTTTTTTTCTTTTTGCTACAGTTACTGTTTTACGCACAGCAGGGGTTCCCAGATGCTGAATTAAAAAGTAGTCACCTAAAATTTAATTATAATGTCACTCAGTGTCATCTTTCTTCGAAAAAAAAATCAAATTAACCTGGTATGCCAAATACAATTATTTTTAAAAATTTTATTGGTAGCGAAAGTATATTCTAAAAAAAGTTTCAAATAAAAACTAATACAACTGCATTGCTTAGTAGCAAATGATCACTGTAGCACAATCCGGTCATGCTGTGTTTCACAATTGTTAATTATTACTCATTAGAAATTATAATAACATACAACATTTTTTTGTATTGTTATGAAATGCAAGTAAAATTCAATTTAGTTTCATCTTAAGCGAACGCTCAAAGTGATATGATGTCCATCATTTTTTTTCTCTTACACATTAACCAATCAAAATGCTTGATGATGCCAATGTGTTCAAATCACCATAGCTCATTTAAATATGTTAATGTAATTGAATGCAATGCGGAAAAGATTTGTCGAAAGATTCACCAAAAATATGGGTAGGCAGGGTTATTGGAAAAACTGCCTTATGGAGTATGTACTTACGAAACAGGGTGTTATTTTCTTTGCCAGTTGTACATGCAGTAGCTATTCCATCTAGGACCAGAATATCACAATGAAAAATCAAATCTGTTCAACAAATATTTGTTATAATATAATAGTGACAGCCCAAAACTTGGAGTGAAACACACAAATTCACATTTTTTCAGAATTCTCCACTATCTCCAAGAAAAGTACATGAATTAGTATTTGAACAATGGTTACATGCAGACTTGAAAGATATTGGTGAACCGTGTTTACCAGATGGACTGCGAACACAAGAACAAGCACATCTAACAGGTGTTCATTCATTGCAGGTAGCTATAATATACTATTTAAAATGTAAATCTTCTACACTTCACAAGTGAAACAAACGTCAGTGTAAACTCTGATTAATAGAGCATTTTCTGTCCTTCTATAACAAGATGTCAAGCAATTTTGATAGTCTTCAAGGTTACTTTTTACCCTGTGAGGTTCCCCATCACCTGGTATCCTCATGAGGTAACCTAATTATTTCATTGATTAAAAATTACAAATAGATTGAATCTATGGAATTTATTTTCTACTGTTTTGTGTTCTTAGGTTGAGAGTTTGAGAGATGTCAGCACACCTGCTTATTCACAATTACAGAAGCTTTCTGGTAAAGATGATCCAGAAGACTTGATTTCTACAGCTACACAACCAACGCAACGGGTAAGAAGTATTTCTAATGAACAAAGCAACAAGACAGTGTTTTGTGATCTAATCATGTGATGTCAGTTCATTATTATT